AATGTCACTTACTTGTCGGGGATCATTTGCATGGCTGATCAGCGTGTGCTGTTTTTAGAAATTCAAACAGAGCCGTTTTGGTTGCCAGGCACGTTGGCCGGGTATGAGGCACGAAGAGATGTGAATTATTCGGAACAATTTGTAAAATAAAATACATTCACATCCAGACAGTCATTACGGACGCAACACTTTTAACAGCTTTTGCAGTTTGAATTCATTGTTTGAGATTGCGCAACATGAATGGGAAGCCAAAGATTTTTTTTGTATGTAGTATGAAGAGACTCGGTTTAGAAGATTCATAATTCAGTCAAACACTATTATTAAAAATAATGTATGTATGCAAATTTTTATCCTTACAGCTTTAGTTTAATCCTGATTTTGTCTTCTTGTTGAGAATTAACTTCTGGTATATTTTCTCTGATGTAGTAATTTTAATCTAAATTACTAAGTTATTACTAATTGTCCTGAACAATTTAGCTTTTATGGCCAAAACTAAATAACTTACTGTTGACAGCATAAAATGATCTTCATTAAAATGTAGTGTTTTTTTCTCCAGCTCTACCCACCCATCATTTTTAAAGTGGAAACCTCTTTTATACGCCTGGCTCTATTAGTTCAATTATGGGCTAAGCTTTTAACCAAGATTCTCGGTAGCGTATCAGTTGCTGTCAGATGCTGTAAATGACATTTCTTTCCTTTCCTTTTTTTTTTTTTATCAGTGAAACAATTGTAAAACTGTGTCCTTTCCTCGACCGGTCTATCCTGTCTTTGTCAAGGGCGCATCTCGCATCATTTACTGCAGGTTCAAAAAGAGAGCCACTGTGGACCTCAGGGGGAGATTAAAAAAAAAAAAAAGAACAAAAAGAAGGTGGGGTGGGGAAAGTGCCCTGCGTGCAGGATGCCTCCCCGAAGCCTGACCTGGTGCTTTCGTACGTTGCAGTCCACCGTGATGCATTCTGGTGCAATTCCATCAGCATTTTTCGCCTTCATTTCCGAAGTTGCTGAAAACAACACTTTGAATGGGGAAGATGAAGTATATTCCCTTTCACCGGCGAGCTATCTCCCCCGCACCCTTGCTCCCACTGCCTACCTACATACACACCTCATTTAATTCAAATGGAAAATATAAGCAAAGGAAGGAAGGGGCGGGGGAAAACACCCAGCATGAGCATTTTTCCTGTTTCTTCTGCAATTTTTCTGTTTCTTCTGCAATAAATCACTGGCAATTCTCCCTCATAAGGATAGATATCACTTGTACATGTCTCCACATCCATCCCAAGACGCCCCTGTTTCGTGCTGAACATTCAATACTTTGAAACCAAATCCCGATCGCCTCTGCTGCAAAGCAGCACGCTATTCGACGTGAGGCGATACGCATATCAAGAGATTGTCTTCAGCACTGCAGAAGCGTCCGCTTACATTAACAGAATTGCCTCGGCGTATCATTTAATGGTTTCACTTGCCAAAATGCAGCCGCTGCTGCTGCTGCTGATGATGTCCGGCGCACATCAATTAGCGGTCATGTTTACAGAGGGCAAGAATAATGGCGTGGGAAGCGATCTCTGTAAATAGCTACACACATACGTGTACAGCAGTTATGCAGTTATCTCCCTGGCACATTGCCTCTGATCAATCACACTTACCTTCCACAAACTAATATACAAAGTGAAGCTGCAGGCCCCGCGGTTGCCTGCGTGTCCCGGCTTTCTTTCATATTTAGTCAATTAAGGCTCTGCTGCATACAAGAGCCTTGTTATAACTGATCTGCTCTTCCGTGGTTGCATTAACTGTTTCTCCATTACAAACGAGATAAAGTTCCAGCAGGGACACATTCTGGTCAGTGGGAAATGAGCTTGCCCTGCATGGAGCTGACAGGCACAGGTGACCAAGCTCTGACAACATGACCACAGGCTGAACTGAAAATCTCTGTGTGTCTTACATCGGGCTTTACAGTAACTGTGGTTTTCTTCTTGGCTCATTAAAACCCAATAATACTGTGGTATAGAAGTCTTGTGTTGTGTCCTATATGAAAATGCATAAATACATCTCATTCTGTAGCTTAGGTGATTCATCCTTCAGCTATGACAGGATGTGATGCTATTGCTTTGCTTTGTTTTTTTTTTGCCAAAGGTTATGTGATATAAGATTTTTGCAAAAGCTACATTAAAGAAGCAACAATGAGCAAACAAATACTGCTACTTGATCTCATGCTAAGTTATGCAGACACTCTGTGTACACTAATGAAGGTTCACTCTCTCACTGTCTCAAATGCTTCACAGCTTCCATTACATTTTAACATTAGGCAAAGATAGCTTGAACAAATCATGAATTAACGGTACATAACTTTGTGTGGTTTTGGCTCATTTTCACCAGATGAATACAATGGTTGATACATGTCAGTGCGGGAAGGATTTTGTTACAATTTGATTCAACAAAATCAGAGGAAATGTGAAACAGTATGAAGCTTCCCAGCAGCGGTGGTCTCCACAAGAGCATCGAAATTCTTCCAGGAAAAGAGATCGGGTAAAAATGGCAACAACGAAGATCTCTAATGTCAAAACCACTGGAGATAAGAAGCAAACACAAAAGCTTGTCTCTGAAACAATAAAAATAAAAAAAAATGTCTTGATGGTCGACATAGAAGAAGAAGTTTAGAAAAATATTTTTTTGAAACAAAGAGACAAAGGCGACAAGTAGCTTTTACTATTTCAGAAAAAGAAAGAACGTTGAACCTACCATTGAACATGATGATGGCACTATGACTTTCTGACCTTTGTTAAAATAGGTAGAACGACGACTTCTGTTTACATCTAGAAAGTCCTGAAGGAGAACATACGGCTATCATTTTGTGACCTTAAGCTCAAGCCTGGTTGGATAATGGAAGCGGGCAATGATCCAAAGAACAACCGCAAGTTCACCACTGCATGGCTGAAACACAAAACCCCAAAATGAAGATGGTGGCCGAAGTCCAGACTTAAATCTAATTGGGATGATGTGACACAACCTTAAGTGGGCTGTTTATCCTCAAAACCCCTCTGAAAAGGCTGAATTAAAACAGTTATATGAGGAAGAGTGGGCCAAAACTCCTTCACAGTGACGTAAAAGACTCATTATCGGGTATTACAAATGGTTGAGAGCAGTTGTTGCCACTAAGGGCAGCACATCCAGTTATTAGGTTTAACGTACTTATTCGCTTAGAATAAGATTTCTCCCGTAATCAGCTGGAAGATCATTTGAAAAACGCATGCTGCATTCACTCAGGTTATTGTTATCTGAAAAAGTGAAGTGAAACAAAATAGCAGAAATTTCTAAGATCCATTTTGCCTGCACTGCAGTTTTTAATATTTTGTGCATATGAGCTAATAAACAACAAAACGCTATTCAAGTAGCAATGACTTAATTATAATCGTTTCTTCTTCCCTCTGATGAGCAACATATGCTCATTTCAGCATAAAGCACATGAAGACTGAGCGGGAATCGACACATTGACTTAAAAATAACAGTACAAAAAGACAAGTTCACATTGAAAGACTTGGTCACAGCTTTGTTTTTATGTCAACGCAACTTTTGTTGTCTTTTGTAGACAATGTGGGGCACCCTCACCAAGCGAGACAGAGACAACCAATTTATCACCAGACAGAATTTTGAGAGGTCTATTTCAGGACGTACTGCCTTGACCTTTATCTCTTTTACTTCCCAAACAAAAGTTTCAATGTCCTCACTGACTTTTCCTCCCTTTTGTACATTCGGACCAAAAATAAATTGGAGATTTTGATATCTGCTCTCTGGAAATAGTGACCGTATCGTAAATGGCCACAAGAGAGGTCAACTACAGCAGATGAATGTTGAGTTTCAACAAGAATTCTTTTTTTTTCACTTAATTTGATTTTCTTATTCTTATTAGATTAAATATTTAATATAATTTTGTGGCACTGCATGTTCTAGTTTGTTGGATTTTAATGTTAATGTTTTCACAGAGAAAAAAAATGTTTTTCCTTCTTGTTCGATGAAATCCTGTTGATAAAAGATTGACGTTTAGCCCTAAGGTCCGAATCAACTTATGTAATTAAAGTCACCAATTAAATCACAAACTTAGGAAATTTTGACTGTGTGTAAATTTGCAAGATAAAAAAAAATCCCCTGATTTTACTACTATACTGCTTATCGGATGAACCATCTTCCACGCTCTCATTTTGAATTAAACTAGTTTTTCCATCCAGCTGCTCTTAGGACAAAATAAAAATCAAATAAAACATTAAGTAGAAAGACATTTACAGTCCGCTTTTATTTAAAGAAAAATTATAACGTCTTTGTTTCTTTCATAATATATAAAATAAAGAGCTGTTAAACTTGCGATGCGCAATGAACTGTGAGGTTAGAATGAGGTTTCAGAATCCCAGACGTTCTTCTTTTATAGCAGTGATAACTTCTGCAAATCATAAAGTGCTTTGCAGAGAGAATCCCTCTGGGAATCTCTCAGTTTAAGTTTTAGAGAGAATGTGTTGGCGTGACAGTACAGTCCAAGGACAGAGAGATTCTGACCTTTTGTCCGTGCTTCCTCAAAGATATCAATGTTTGCGAATGCAGCAAGAGTGGAAACTTTTTCCCCAGCATGAACTACTGAATTATGTCTAGCAATGTGATGCAAAAAGCCGCTAAGAAGATGTTTAATTGAATATTTACTGGTCAAATGGATTTTCCAAAAATCCGCTGGGCTTTCCACGCTACCCAAACAGGACTTAATAAATTACCGGTGCAGGTGTTGAGACGTTTGCAGGGCTTCCAGGTTCTTTGTCACGCCGTTTATGGACATCTACGCTGTACTCAGCGAAATCCATTTTCTCCGTGCTGCACAACTGGCAAAACGCCGTTAAAGGCAAACTAAGCAAGTATCACTGTTTATTACAGTGGACAAGGATACAATGCAGAAGAAGAGTAGCTTAGGAAAGCATCACAGGATTGGATTTGTGCTGATAATCTCAATTATTTTTCATGTTCAGGATACAAAGAGCTGAAAGGCAGAGCAAAACCGCTGACCTCGTCACTAACCAGGGAAAAGAAGCTGAATCGCATGAAACTGACTCAGAACGGAGCATCATACGTCTACCACGGATTTGTCTCTTGAGAGCAGAATTCACATTTCTGCCCAAAAGAGTATGTCCTCCTCCTGATTGTTCATAAAGGGAAATATATTCCTATTTCCCAGATATTACCCACAATATACATGCTTACTTCTCTTTGCAGATGTGCAAACAGAGCAAATATGTTACGGAACCTAATGAAAGTTTGTTGAAAACTACAGTGAATAACTTTGTAGATGCTAAATTAATCAAGTGGTTTGGCATGTTTAAGTGAACATGCTCTTCATTCAGGCAGGTGAATGTTTGTGAAAGTTAAGGTTTAGTGTAGGATCTGACTCAGGCATTGGTACAAAATAAAATTTACAGTCTTTTCAGCTTTTTGTTGTTTTATTTTTTAAGAAATCTGGACTGCATTCGGTAAAAAAAAAACACTAAAATCTTTGGTAAAAAGCTTTTCTTATATATATATATATATATATATATATATATATATATATATATATATATATATATATATATATATATATATATATATATATATATATTGTATTTCTATAAGAAAAGCTTTGTGCTTTTCTTGCCCAGGCCAGCAAAAAATATTTTTACATGTACAAAGGGTTGACATTGCTGGACAATGACTATAAGTGGTAGATGAATGCCCATGTTTTTTTTTTGTTTGTTTTGTTTTTTTTTTTTTGTTTTTTTATAGCTTTTCTCAAAGTCATTGTGTTAAAAATGTTTAAATCAGTACACCCTCCAGATACAAACTTACTATTATTAGTGGGTGGACCTTCAAAATCATTAAAGCAACTTTACTGCACAGTCAGCAGGACTATTTTAACATGTGTCCATGCATATTAAATTAATCATACAGATCCTACTTTATATAAATGGGAACTATCTTCTCACACCAAATCGTCGACTTTTGGTAAAGAGCACAGTTAGAAGAATGGCATGTTCAAAGCGTCCGTGATATGTCGCCCTTCGTGCTTTGTCAATAGTGCGCTCCGAGATCATAAAACTCATTCCCTTGATGACAGGTTCATTTGAAATATGTCCTGGGGAAGGACAAACGTGTGAACGAGGCCGGAGAGCCGAGAGCGGGCCCCTCGTACCGTATCTCTTCCCACCGACAGGACATTCGCTTCTTTTCGGATCTTTCTTGTTGACATATCATATTGGTGCCGGCAAAGTGAAATAAATCCTCAGCAAACCTACACGCTGGTGGCCCATTTTTCAACATGCTTCCCCGTGCCCCCACGTACAAATCAATGGCGGTTATGGACGCGGCGTCAGACGATCCAGTTCTTTTTCTGACCGATAATTGCACAGTCCCTGACACCTGCGCAGAGAGGCACCCGAGAAGCAGATTAACACGGAGCGGCGTACCGATCTGCTTCTGTGTGCCTTCATCTGGCAGATCAAGAGAAGATAACAACAGCTATTGTTGCAAATAAACTACTCAGTGCTTGGCACCCGCTACAGTGCCATATGCGTCCTTTTCTTTTTTCAGTTCTGGCAACAAGGCCACCTACATATGCCGAGCATCCATCTATCCTTTTCTAGCACATGAACTAATAAGAGCAAAGAGGAAAATGGCTGGATACAGCAAGTGGAATATTGCGTTTAATCACACAAAACTCAACATCTCACGTTGCATGATGAAGAATCAGTAAAATCGGTTTTGTTCTTCAGATTGGTAATTAAAGGGGGAATCTCTGACAACTCCTAGTCAAAGACTCATTTGTAAATGGATGGAAAGACTCTTTGAGTATCAATGTTCTCATAAAGTAGGTCATGTAATTTGTCACTCAACTTCAAGATACATTTATTCAGATACATTTTATGGGTCATTGCTTTGAGGCTTCATTATAGAGCAGAATGAGCTCGTCTTGGTCAAAAATGATCCCTGTTTTTGGTAGACTTGTACACAACAAGTTCACACATTTGAGACACGGTCACTGAAGGGTCATATAAAACATAAACCAAAAAAAATCACTGAATGGAGAAATGTGTAGGTCATTGAAGGTGATACGAAGCGCTCTTGTGGAGGTCGAGATTTTGAGTTGCACTGCCTTGTGTGTTTCAATTTCTCTAGAATTTGCGAGCATTTATGTCTCATGTATGTACATGTCTGCAACCCATTGCAAGAAAGGCTCCTAAAAACTTGCCACTGTACTTTGCTATGAGTGAATGCGACCTGAGCTCAAATGGGGTATAAGGTACAAACACTTTCTCTAATGGCTGCAATTCTCAGCAGTGGTCCTTCACTGGGCACAAGCACACTGCTATGATTGTGTTTCCCCCACAGTCACAGTGGGTGCTTGATATATTTCAGTTTTTCTATGCCATGGTGCAGCATCTGAATGACTTTTCAGCACCCGCGCTGTACTCTCCCAACCCTGGTAATCGAAATGGTGTACAGGTGGACAAGCGCATTGCAATCAGAGCAGAGTCAAATGTTCATGGGAAAACAGTTCATACGTTTGGATGAGGATGTCAAACGATACAAACGCCACAGAGAATCAATACAATTTTGCCTGTGACAGATGATTATGATTGATTTATTTTTTATTTCACAAGTGCGGTATGCTGATCTCTGAAGGATCTATCTAAAAGGAAGTCTTTAGATGGTTTCCCGACTGCAGGGCATTGATTTTATTGAATCCAGACTTCATCCAGCATCAAAGTAACCTGTGTTTGTATGACCTTCAACCATTTGGTTTACGTGTGAGTGTGTGTGTGTGTGAGTGTGTGTGTGTGTGTGTGTGTGTGAGTGTGTGTGTGTGTGTGTGTGTGTGTGTGTGTGTGTGTGAGTGGCCTTGCATTTGATACATTGTAAGAACCATTTTCCTAATACATAACACATTATAGAGACTCGTGGCAGAGGATCAACCCCTAATCGTTGATCCTCTGCTGTGATTGCTGTGTTCACTGTACTGTTGTAAACCTCATGTATTGCAAAAAACCTTGATGTTACTGCAGTGGGAGGAGTTTCATATGCAAAATGAACAATTGTACCTAACTTAAACTCAATTCATACTTTAGTCCTAAACTTCGTCCCAAGCCCTAAGTTAGGCATCGACTGGTAGAGGTCGGAAGTATGGAAAGCCTTTTTACATTTTGAGAAATGTACCATATGTGTATCTGTGAGTGAGAGAGAGTGTGTAAGCAGAAATAATTGGGCTTGTGTTGAGTACAGGTGTATGTGAATGAATTTGTCACCTGGAGGTGTACACTTTTTAGACTGGTGAGACGGATGGAAGGACTGCAACCCATAGCACGGGCAACAAAGGACAGATGGAGATGACTCTGGAAGGACGCAACAGCCCCAGGCAGACACAAAGCACCACCCCAGGCAGGTCATCAGTGAAGCAAAAGAGCAGCAGCCTCAAGGCCAAAGAGGCACAGCCCCTAGTGGCCCAGGGCCCAGAGCTCCCAACACACAGACAACACAAGGACCAAGAGAAGGCACCTGATGAGAGAGCTCCTGAGGGGACTGTAGAGACGGACGCCCACTTGAGCCCAGCGCAGCCCCAATAGCCACACAAACAGCTTCCTACCACAGGGGGATGACCCTTACCAAACACCCCAACATCAAAGACCTCCTGACATCCTGGCCAACATTGAACCAGTATAGGCACTGGAGTAGAACCGATCTTACGGATTGGTACATGTACGGGTCCTAAAGTGACAGCTTGGTATGTTTTTGGAACACTTTGATCAAGAAAAATAACAAAATTATGTTCATCCGTCGGCTAGACTTTTCTAAAAACCTACACCTGTTTGTGACAAATGTAAACCAGATGATGGGACTCTGGGCCATTTGCTCTGCTCCTGCCCTAAACATATGGATTTCTTGCACAAGATATTTCAATGTAAAGTAATGTTGATGGCAGATATCTGACAGCCATTTGATAATATTGGGCTCCAGCAGGGCCTCATGTTATGTTTGGTGGTAGCATAGTGAGTTATTCTGAGGGAATGGAAATCTACTACCTTGCTTGTTTCATAATGCTTCATTGATAAGATCTCCTGTATTTATCCTGAAGACATTCAATAGTCTTTGCCAGGCAATCATCACAAGTTCCTTGATGTGTGGGGTCCTTTAAACAGTAATGAGAGAAAGAGGATGTCCTGACCAATTGGATAGTTTTGTTTTCACCATCATTATTATCATTATTTCACCTTTTCATTTTTTTATTGATGCTGTGTTTCCTGAACTGCCTCTAGTCCGTTATGACTCCGTTTCATGCTTGATTGGGAACTTTGGACTAATGTTCAAATTAACATCCTCTCAAAATAACAGCAGACTGACAGATTTTCTTGACTGTTTTCTTTTGCTTGGTTTAGTTTTTATTTAATTAATTTGATTTAATTTAATTTAATTTAATTTAACTTGATTTGATTTGATTTTATCCTGTTATGGTTTTGTTTTTTATGGGGTTTTTTTTAGCTTTTTTAAAACTTCTTTAACATCTCAGTTTCTTGAAACTGATATTTTTTTAAGTTATAAAACTTTTTTAAAAATGGAAAGACAAAAACTGACAAGATGGTTGGTTGTATTTTTAATTTCAAAATTGCCCATTTTTGAAAAGAAAACATTTTTGAAACCACTTCAGAGATTCTTTGATATTTCCACAACTCGGTGTCCCAGCTGCACCTGAATGCAGCATGTGCAGCTGTTGGGGAAAATCCTCTTTCATCAAAAGGAGATTCCTCTGACTTACATTTTATACGACGGATGGATGCTACTGGTCGCCCATTTGCTGTACAGATGGTAGCATTGTATATTCAGTTCCACATATGAACATTCTCAATGTACTTATGGAATAAAGCAAAGTTGTTATGACTGTCTGAAACTAGTGATGGAGACTTTACTCAACTGGAAACCATGTGTAGAATATGGATAAGAACATTGTAGTTTACTCTAAAGTTTAAATGGAGAGACTATAAAGTGTAGTCATTGTTGTTTTTTTTTTTTTTTTTTTTTTAGTCTCAAATGAAAAACAAAAAGCCAAATATTGAGCCCCAATCAGTCAGGGTAGTTTCATTTCAAGCTTGCATGTGCACTATCCATGTTTCAGGAAATCTAAAGTCCGTGTCCAGCATTGTGCCAATTTAAAACCGTCTGAGTTGAATCTTGAGTGCTCAGGGTTGTCAGCAGTGTGCCGTGGCAAAAAAGAAAAAAAAAAACTGACTGAAGTTGCAAATGTCAAGAGATGATGGACTACAGCTCTCTGGCGTGGGAGCAAACCGCGGCTACTCTCGGTGAGATTTGCACTCTTAAAACCTCCTTCCGTCCACTCCCCACACTTTCACCTTCATTGCATCATAACTGGAGAAACTCTCTAAATCAGAACTTGCACAAATATGCAAACCGCAAAAAGTACAATGAAAAAAAATGTCATCGAATCATTTTGCCCCCTGCTAAGCCGTCCTAACGGGTCAGGACAAGTGTGAGAACGTTTCCAGAAGTTCCTAAAACAATACATCCTCGGTGCCCTGTGGCTTCTGAAGTCGGTTCTGCGTGTGCTCAAAGACGCCACCATATCCCGTCGGATCAGCGTCTGAGAGTGTGTGGTGGTGGGCGACACCACACACTCTTCTTTGTTGCACTCTTTGAGCGAGGGAAATCAGGGTGTCCCAGAATGACGTACCGTAGCGTTTTGACAGGATGAGTGTGTGCCTATAGGTGATGTTAAAAGTATTAAATGAAGCCTGGCAGTGATCTGTTGAAATGTAGTTTTAGCAACAGCATTCTTTATATTTTTCTTCAAAAAAAATATAAATTCTCAAAAAAAAAAAATGCACCAACATTTGTATTTGTCAATATATCCTTTTTCAGCTTTTTTAATTTAGACTCTGGTTTGTAAACCACATTGTGGCAAAATGAAGGATTTTCTATATTCTAGTTGTACTCTTTCAACCTTTGGCTATCATAAAAAATCAGTGCTGAAGATATTTCAGTCAAAGAGTACCATCTCTTCAGATATTTAAGGATTTCTTTCTGCATCAAATAGCTTAATATTCAACTTGACTATTTCCCTTTTCAGACAAAATGTTGAAGAAACATGAGGTTTCTCGCAACTTCATTAAGCTTGTTAATTGCAAATATAATCTTATTGTATATTAAAACCATGTAGAAGACGTGCAACAAATGGCACGAGACCAGGAATCAAACTTAGGACCATCTTAGAAATCATTGCCTCTGCATTAGCAACTGAGCCTCCCAGCGCCTCTGAGTCGGAATGACTATTCTGATCATGTTTTAATCATTTGTGCACCCAATTCTAGATCTTAAAAACCATTAAATAACTTTTAGGGTAAAATAATTCCATGCAAGAAATAGAATTCATTTTTAAAAGCCCTATTTTTAAAAAATTTTTATTACTTCTCTAAAATTGTATTACCATCTCTTCCATCAAGCACAATGGGAAAAGATCATTTCCTTGACTCTGTCTTTGAGACAAAATGTTTTTAACTATAAAGCCAGGGAAAGATTCAAAGAGTAGCAGCAAAAGCAAATGGGGGAGAATTAGCAGTGCTTGCCAACAACTGGTGGTATCATTTAGGACATACCGGGAAATATCTCTGTCTCTGGGGTGTTAGCATCTCATGATGATCGTACACCAACCGAGTTAGATTCTTCTTGGACTGAGGACTGACCACTACTGGAGATCCTCACTGCAAGAGCGTCAACACCCACAACGACCATTTGAAGAAACTTGTACGATTTGAGTTATGACGACACTTATAATGTAAATAATGTATTTTTGAATTGAACTCCAATTAGACTCACGATGATGGAATGTAGACATCTGATGGGAACCATTCACAAATGCTCTTAAAGTATTATGCCGTGATGTCTGTTTGCATTTCAGCAATATATATGTAGCAGGAAATTAACTCCAATTATGAAATGGACAGTAAACCACTGAAGACTACTATCACTCATTGCCAGATATTTTTTTTTCTTTTAGCAAAGTGAAAAAGACCTTTACTGAAAGAAAGAGCTCGGTTCTGCAGTGTGTGAAACCGCTGTGAGATGGCAGCACTCCAAACGCAGACTTTAACGGAAGACATAACCTCGACCATAACGTTTTTTTTATTTTTTTTCCAGTGGCTAACATCAGGCTAACGCATCTTGGCACACAAGGCTTCATCAGAGCATCTGCTTTTGGCAACCAGTGGAAGGTTATATGAGGAGGTGCACCTGCTATATGCTTTTCCCTGCTTGATCTCATTATCATCAAGTGTGTTATAGTGGCAGGGCTGACAAGCTGCTGCCTCCAGCTGATTCACAAAATACCAGTAGAACATATGTAATTAGCGAGCACAATCCAAAAGGCACCAGTGGTAAAAACAATAGTACACCATATATGTTAGTGTAAGTTAGCTTATGCTTTCAATTTATGTAAAACTTTATTACAGCCTGTGAAACTAAACTACAGCATTCATTCTACAAGAGTGAATTTATGGAGAAATCTTGTCGCGTTGCCATGTGTTTTCAAACAATAACATACTTTCATACGTGAAGTTCCTGATTCCTCGACCGTGTTTCTGTGGAAATCCTTGCATTTTTGTGGTGGGAAACAAATATCCATATTCACCTTGAGTAAAAGTGATTTACAGGAAAACATGCTCCCTGCATTTCATGTCAGTTTCAACAATGAGGTAACTCTTGGTGAGGAAAATTTACATTCCAGGTCTTTTAATGGCTGAAAGGAAAGCATGCTGATGCTTGCAACGAGGGCTGAACCCATGGTGCTGAACGGGCAGCCAGTTCTGAGCCACTTAATGCTGAGATTTGTACAAAAAGCCGTGTGCCAGTACACACAAAAACAGTTTATTTGTACAAAGATATGCTCCCTTTACTGTAGTGTTTCAACAAATGTGATCCTTTAGTGAATCTAATAATTTTGTTTTCAACAGAATGAAGAGATTTTGTCAACACACTCTGTGGCATGAGTGTAAAGGCAACATCGCACATAATTAGGCTAATTAAATCCTGCTGTAATTCTTTAGTCATGCTACACTATGCCAACACTCTGTCTACGCTAATGAAGATTTACTTATTGTGGCCTGCCGATACTCCAACAGTGTTACAGTCTGAGCCATTGTCTGATTTTTGTTTTGCTTTCCCTTTGCTCTGTTCATGTCATGCAAATTTAATCTTCTAGAGGCAAAGTAATTATTACTCAAGCATATCTCAAAGGTGTAATACAACTTGCTATTTTAATAAAATGCGCTACATTTCTCTGCATTTAGAGCTATGTAGAGCACATTTCTAGATACAATACGTGTGGCAAAAATAAACAGCAGGTTGATTAAATTCTTAGATAAACATTTGCATGCAAATCTACACCTAAAAACTAATCATGCTTGAATAATGAAAGGCATGCCCTAATAATCCTGGTAAAAACAGGAATCCGAGAAGTCGTGGCATTTTTTAAATTTATTTTTTTTTTTTTGCATGTCTTTTCTTCCAATTGTAAAATTTAATCCAGCCAAAACACTTGCAAAATTAATTGACGCCACACATTCTGGATGTGTCATTTGCTCTTGTTAATTTGATACCCGACGCTGTTACTACGTCCTGAGAGCTCGCTAAGATTCTTTTTTTTGTCCTCTTGACAGTATCAAGCAGCAACAGCCGTCCTCACAGAAAGCTGAGATTGGAGAATATGAGCATGTAAAGCTGCCTGCAAACTCAATGAGCACAATTTGAATTCTGGAGCAAATTAGTCTCTGAACCGCCAATAAGGACCGAGTCGAAACTTCATTCACGGGGGGCGATAAAGCGACAAAACCCCAAATGTTCATATTTCTTTTCAAAATCCTGGCTGGACACTTCCTTATGTTGTGCAAATACCCGGCAGAACATGGAGAAAGATGAATTGAACCAAGTTTGACCTAAAAACGCAACCTCAACTTCAAAAGGTCTGCATGCTACTTGACAAACACAGCGGTGGAATTGATCCGGCAAAAACAATCAGTCCCAGTGGCATTTAAAAGAAACTGGTCTCCACACTGTTCATTTCCAGCAGCAGGCATAAAAAGCCGCATTATTTATGCTAGTAGTTTCATGGTATTTTAAAAATGTTAAGAGCATAAATATGTGAACATAGTGTCATCTAAAGAGGATGTACTTCATCTCTGCCTACTGATTGTGTTCGAGTTCCTTTGTAAAAGAATTTACGCCTCATCATTTTCATTTTTTTTTCCCACATTTTGAAAGGTATTTTATTGGGATTTGTGACATAATATAGAAGAAGAAAAATAATATATGACCTCTAGGTGAAATAATGGAAGTGGAAGTTAAAAAATATATATTGTCATTTGAATTTTTGCACTCATTTGGAAGCCTAAACAGTCCCTTATAGGTTGATCCTCATAAATGTGAATCAGTGAAATCAGCTGCTTCCAGAAGTCATTTTAATAATTAATAGAGTCCACCTGTGAGCAATTTGATCTCAGCACAAATCCAGCTGTGCTGTGGAGGCTTCAGAGGTTTTGTCAGAGAACGTTAAAGAACAAACAGAGCCATTTAGATCCAGGAACACATCAGAAGTGTCGGGGAGAAGGAGTGCGCAGAAAAACCAACACCGCACATATCTTTATTTATCGTTTAGATTTAGATCAAACACATTTATGCAACGAGATGGCTCAAAGTGTGGACCTTCAATCGGCTCGGATTTTGGGCAAGCCTTGATCATATATGGTCTCCATCATGGCTGACAGTGGATTGGGATGTTTTGTAAATAGAAATGTGCAAAGTTGATTAAACAATAATATACACCAGAGGACTTGTAGCTGCAGTCGCACTTAAAGGTGGTTGGCAAATGGTTGAGGTATTGGGTTTGAATACAAATGCACACCACACTTTTCAGACTTTTAGTAGTTAAAGCAACTAAAAGCTTTTACCATTATTCTTCTGTCTCACTGAGACCCCAAGAACTGCACAGAAGAGTAGAAATATGGTAAAAAATGAAAAAGTGTTCAAAGAAAATTAAATGCTTTGTAAGACAAATTGTTTTATGTCTCCCATTAATGCTTGACTTGACTCTAAAGGAACAGCCATCTTCTGTAAGTGCATGGATAAAGTCACAACTCGGCTCATCCTTAAGTTTCACTGCAGGCCAAACCATTGCCAGATTGCAGGCTGACGACTGCAAATATCAGGACATCCAAAAGCTTGATCCAATGAAACATCAGTAACCTCCACTCCCACACGATTACAGCACCTACCTCCAAAATCAGGCCTCAGACGATATCATATCCCTTCAGCAACTTGTCCACGGTAGTCTTGGCCACAGACATTCCGGTGCTTTCGTTGGAGGAGCTGAGGGCAGAAACCACAAGCTTAAGTGCTTTTTTCTTTTCCTCTCCCAATCAGCACCAACAGGGTTGTTCTGTTTTTCAGAACTCGTGTCCACATTTAGATAGAAGGTGGAAAAATGAACACCTTGTTCGAAACATTAACCGACGGAGGGCTTATTTTGTCTAAAAGGGTTTTTCTTACCACCTGGCACAGTGAAGAACGTATCTTCCTTTTTTATGAGTAGTTCTGATTCGCTATGCGGTTAATAGGATGAATACAAACTACAGTAGTTGGACCCAGAGCCTGATGCGAACAGCTTGTCCGGGAGGGTCCAAGGCCAACTTGTACTTACAACAGTTCAAGCAAACGCTACACTACGGACCTTTAATCGTTGTTTGTACCATGTGATTATTTACACAGGAGATTGAACGTGTAAGCGGTGCACCAACCAAACCTCCAATGAGAAACGAATAACCACAAAAAAAACAGGTGCAGATGGTTAACAATCAAATGTGTCCTAACATTTCTGGTTACCGAAAAGTGAGGCAGTGTGTAAATCGTTCGCTTGGTGTTCATGCACACATTTCCTCTTCTCCATGTTTCACACGGGAAGATCTATGGTGGTGCACCGCCTCCATTCCCTTGTGTAAATAACCATCAGGTTCGGTGTAAATAATCAGTCTTATAAATCGGTGTGCGCCAGAACCGAAGTGACACTGTTTTGAGATCGGAGTCGTTTTTGAGGGATCTTTGAAGTCCGCTTTTGGACCCTGGCCCCTTCTTGAACCAACATTTACCTTCAGATTCCTACATCCGTCTGCTCTGGGTTTGTTCAAAAATCAAGTCGCAAAGACTCTAGTCATTTAAGAAAGTAGCAGAACACTGCATCAAAACCCCCCTGAGCTACACCCTTGGAATCATTTAGAGATGTGTCATAAAAACTGATCGGTGCTGTGAAGAATTTAAAAAAATGATAAATCTGGGGTATGGTTGAAAATTGTGCCTTATGCATTGGACTCGCATATCATGCACATCCATCAAGTCAATTGTAGGAGCGTTCTGATGACAATAAGTCAGTCAAGCATATCATATATGCAAGTCTTTCAAGAAGCTGAGAATTAACTTAGATTTAATGTATTCATTTTTCTTGCAAGCTCCATCTTATTCACACAGGCGTTTTTTTTTTTGTTGTTTGTTTGTTTGTTTTGTTTTTGTTTTTTAGAAGAAGAAGAACCAGAAAAAAGTAAAGCTTCCCATCTTCCTGTCAGTTTGAGCCAGGATGTGGACTGTTTTATCTCCCTCACGCTCAGGTCTGACCAACACTAATAATATGGGGTGACATGACCTGCAACACTCTCAGCTGGTCCAGTTCTCCACTTGATGTTCCTTTGTACTGTGAAGGTGCGAGCTGAGTGCTGAGGGAAAATAAAAAAACAAAACAAAAGGAAGGAAGGAAGGAAGGGGGGAAAAGGATTGCCTGAGTCATGGAAGCACCCTTTTATTAACTCACTGTGCAGTTGTTCATCGCGCTGGGCGCTCTCAAAAATCTCTGTAAGCTTCAACACCTTGGCAGCGTCAGCGTTGGGGCTATATATGAGAAACCATCTCTTGTTACTGTGATCGGGTGTATAACGGAAGCAAAATGTCAAAAAAATAAATAAATAAATAAAAGTGCAGCCTCAGTCTCAGTGAGCACCTTAAATCTTTTAACTGACACCATGGGCCGCTGCAGACAAGGAAACGGAGTAGGCCACAAGGGATGTACATCAGTGTCTTCACCATCAAAACAATGAGGGAGCTGAGCAGCAGATTCTGGTTGCTGTGATGTTTGGAGGGGGCTTGTGCACAAAATGTGTGCTGTAAACATTGAAAGGCCCTGACATGAGCTGATTTATTAAAAGGCTCAAAAGCTTTCCCAGCTTTCTATCTGGATAGCTGCAAGCAGATGGAACCTGCAGGGATTTTCTTCTTCTTCTCCTTCTTTTTATTCCCCCAGTTCTAGTTGATTTGGTTCACTTCCACGAGATGGCCAATTAGAACAATTAAATATGTGACTATATTACTGACCACAACACATAAATCCAGCTGTTTATCTTATTAAAAATACGTTATCAAATCGCTACAATGATAAAGTATTATTATTATTATTATTATTATTATTATTATTATTATTATTATTATTATTATTATCTGTGCACCAAATACATCTCCATTTAGATATGAGGAAAAGGTTACTTTTCCCAGTTGGCTTGCTATGATGCACGCGCGTGTTTTTACGCTGGCGCGCGCCGCAGCTCTGTCTAATAGAGCATATATCGGCAGCGATGCCCCTACAATGAGCAGGCCTGGGTACCCCCCACCCCCTTAATGCGATTTGCCACATTTCGGGTTGTTATCGATCCCTAATTAAACATGTCGCTGGACAATTTTTTATTTTTATTTTCTATTTTTCTTTCCACTCGGCTTAAATGGAGATTATCTTACCTTTGAACAAAGCAGAGGAAGGACAAAGCCACCAAACCAGAGAAAATTCCACATATTTTTTCTTCTTGACGACCCAACATCTCCACGAATCCTTATAGTTCCTATAATCCAACCAGTCCAGTGGTCCTCCCGAAAAACGCACAAACTAAAAATCTAAAATAGCCAATTAAAAAAAACAAACAAAAAAACAAAACAAAAAAAAAATCCCAAAACAAAACAAAAAAGAAAGAAAAAACAATTGCCTTCTTTAAAAAAAAAAAAATCAGTCGAATTACTCGCCTACATCTATGCAGGCAATTTTTTTAAGTGTGCTATTATAATGGACAAACAAAAACAAAACAAAAAAAGAAAAGAAAAAAAAAAGGAGGAGGAGGAGGAGGAGGAAATCTGCTGTTAGGACCCCGCTGTTTTCCTTCAGCTATGGAAATCCGTGCAGGTCACAGAGCCCCTCGACCAACACCAGAAGATCAAACATCTTTGCTCGAATTAAAAACAGAACAGCATATAGGACACTTTTAAAAGTGATGACAAGTCCAGTTGAGGGGTGTCAGGGGGGGAAGCTGGAGGGGGGAGTTGGTTGGGGGGAAGGAGGGGGAGAAAAAGGAAGAGGGGAAAAAAAAAAAAAAAAAAAAAAACAGCAAACACTGGCATGAATGGCTGAAGCAGCAAGCCTCCTGACAATCAAATCGGCGGATGAAATTTCCCAGTCCAAATCTGCAGAAGAGGCATGGCTCCAGCGTCGCTCCGGCGCCAGTCTTCACCCACAACGTGATGCTGTTTAAAAGATATTTGACTGAGCTGAAAACGGTGGTCGGCTGACGTGCGTGCGCGCTCGCGCGCGCGCCTGTGTGTGTGTGGAGTGGGGTGTGTGTGTGGGGGTGTGTGTAGGAGGGGGCGGGGGGGAGGAGGAGGGGGCGCCGCGGTGGGTTCAAAAAGAAAAGAAAAATGAAATCTTCTTCTTCTTCTTCTTCTTCTTGTTCTTCCTTCCACCCCGGTTGCTGCTGCCGCTGCTGCTGCTGCCGCTGCTGCCGCCGATGATGATGATGATGATGATGATGATGTAGATCAGCGCAAAGTCACTGAGGGGAAAATGCACAATGAAATAGCATTGGGTAATATCTGATGCAGACGTCAGAGCGGACTATATCACCCCTCTGATGAAGAAATTAAAAAATAAATAAGAAAAGAAAAAAAAAGTACATGCCGAGAAATATGGATTCCCCCCCCCACTCCGCCCCCCACTCTCTCTCTCTCTTTTTTTTTTCAATGCCAAAACGTGCGTCCACAGCGAACAGACGCAGCTGCCTCCGCCGGCCGCTGAGAAATGGCGTGTGGACACGTTAGCATGCTCCGTTCGTCCAGAATGACATGACGGAGGAACCCTGTGTGCTTCCTCAGTTTAATTTAAAACAATATCCGACTACATTGAATTTTTGGCGACATTTGGCTTTTTAACTCTTTTTTTTTTTTTCTGCCTAAAAAGCCATTAAAATGCTCGCAGTGTGCGCCGGTGCGTTTCCGTGCGTTTGTTTCACTTCGCCGCGTTCTTTACCGCGCGGCACGCACAAGCAGTGCGCGCGCCCACTTTCACACACAAGCCTTTAAGCTTGCGCACGCGCTCAGGCACAGAAATACAGACAGGGTTCTCTCGGTTTGATCTGATGTTATTATCAGGCGCTCTTGTTTTTTTTGTTTTTTTGTTTTTCTTCCTTTTTCCCGTCCGGTTGGACCAGAAACACTCTTACACCAGGCTGCACACCGACGACCCGAGAACTTGAGTTTTAAAGGGGGGGGGGGGGAGGTTTTCTTCGGGGATCTCTGTGCTGTCCAGTTGCTAAGCAACCCACCCCAGCGCTGATGCGGTTCTGGTGATTCGGATGCTCTGCGCAAAGGCTCATTTAAAGGAGCAGAGCCGGTGTGCATTCAGAGCCGCGGTGTCAGTGGGACAAAAAGGAGACGTCCGCTGATGAACCGGGGAGCCGCTGCTGTTAGAAGGAAGAGAGGGGAGTTTACAAAAAGGCATGTAAAGGAAATGTGGCGCGTCGTGGGGATCGTACTAATTCTGCTTCATCATCACTCTGCTCCCTCTAATCATCCCTGTCATCCCCACAAGGAGTGTGGTGATGCAGCTATTAAAAATGCTCATGGTCTGTGTTGCTGCTTAAGATATGTGTCATGAAAACCAGAATGCATGGATACAAGCAATATTCACAGTTTGTACTCCTGTACATTTATGTCCTCGCTAAATATAATCTACGTCATACTTCTATACATACAAAAATCAACTTACTTTCATGTCACATTTTCACTGCAGAAATCGGGTCTTCGTTCTGTGGCTATGCACGTCTTTCTTCTCAATATCACTTTTGTCACCTCTGCTTAAATGTCACAGAGAGCTTGATTATTTATGGATATATATTCTGGCTTTATCTGAGGAGGAGAGGCAGGACCTGTCCATCACATAAGTGACGTTCGGTGCTGATCTCAAACAGGCTGCCATTGCAATTACATAGTTTATGTCAAAGGATAACGCCATGACTGACCGTGACCGGGCGGTGAAGGCCGAACAATTATCTTAACATGATCTGCGACACAGTCAGACTGACTTTCACACTTGTTGGGAACTTGTTGCACCACATGGAGTCAGTGGTCATATACAAAGCTTCCATTGTAAAGAGATTTTTCAAATATATTTAAATGATCAGTGGACATAGGCTGAATACTATAAATTTAACAAAAAAAACAACAACATTATTACACAATTAGATAATTTTTCTTCAAAAATGTTCCGTGTCTTTGGTATTTTTTAGAGCACAGGTGTCAAACATGTATGGTTTAGAAACAAGTACTTGAAGCTTGCCATCCACAATTCATTGGCTACAGTAAAATCTAAAATGAAAAAAAAAGTAACACAGAACTCAAGTGTCGGCGTTTGATAAGGATCATTCACACAGTATGTCTTCATCCTTGAACCCTAAAGATCACCTTTATATCTCAATGATTCACAAGAAAAAGCCTGAATCCTAAATTCAGAATTTAACTTTAAACGTTATTTTAGAAATCAGTAATACATGCAGATTTTTTTTGATGTGGTCTGTGTCACTACTATTATGATTTATAACTTTCAGTCATGCTTTTGTAGCATTAACTCCTACTGCTGACCTTATGCATGTACTAAAATGTCTAATATTTGCTAATTCTTCTCTGGTACATTATTAGTTACATAACTACAGTAATATCTCAATCCAATCCATACAATTGGATTGAGTCCTTGCAGTGTGAAAATTTCCATACAATTTTCACACTGCAAGGACCCATAATCTTTGTCATTCAATTGATCAAAAAAATCTAAACATAATTAAAGTATTTTTGTATTAAATGAACGACACTATTCACTGGCTTCCTTTTCTTTTTCTGGTGAAATTTAAGGTTTTATTTATTGTTTTTTAGTCTAAACTCAATGGGGTGGGCCCATCTTACTAAAGTGAGCTCTTTCAGCCCCACTCTCCACTCAGAGACCTGAGGTCAGCTGGCCAGCTTTTATTGCCAGACTCTAGAGTCAGGCTAAGAATTAGAGGGGACAGAGACTTCTCTGTGGCAGCACCCAGACTGTGGAACAGTCTCCCTCCGTCTGCTACGATCTCTCAGTCAGTAGGTCAGTTTAAATCCTGATTGAAAACGCAAACAAAAAAAAAATGTAAAAAACAGGAAAAATTTGTATTTAATTTAGCTGTGTTTTTGGGAAATCACTGCAGCTGAAATTAATGTCTTGTTTGTTTTCATAATATTATTGTTTGTTTTTTTCTTCCAATTTTATAATTGTCTTTATTATAATTTTTAACAAACTTAATTAAATATATTTTTGGTGATGTTTTGATTGTTGTGAAGTACTTTGGTCAGCTGTTGTAAATATCCCAAGGCAAGCGGTCCTGGGTTCAACTCCCGGACGAGCCCCCAATTTATTACGACTGGCTCACAGTCATATCACAAAGGGGAGACCATGCTGGTGATTAAGGTGCAGAAAAACAAAAACTTATTAACAAAAACTGCAACGGATTTTGAATGTCAACATTAGTGAAGTAATGTAAATCCCGTTAACGGGAAAGCTTCAGCTTTCCCTCTTTAACACATTAACTTGTTGGCATCCATAAGCCCCTGCAATGTGGTTCCCTTTTCATTTAGTTCACATGTTGCATAAGACATGCGAGTTACTGTGTCACCCCCTTGCTCCCCTGATATAAATAGTATCACATGGTTAATGCATCGATGCTTTCCAGTCTCTGGCTTTCCCCTTTCCTGCCTCCCCACAGTTTGTATCTGTCAAAAGGGTGTAATCGGCTCTAAGTAGTAGATGATGTATTTAACTGATGCGTCTCAAGATGCTTCATCTTCCCTCTCTTCTATGACATGAGTGAAAACGTGTTTTAATGGGAGTTCGTTTGACATTAATGTGACATGGGAGTTTGTCGGTTTACCCTCAGAGGAAGCGATCAAAGCTTCTCCTGAAGGAGTTAAGTTGCAGGTGCAGCAATCATACGACATATTTTGTCAGGTCAGGGGGGGTGCAGGGGTTAGGGGGTCTCTGGATAAAAGCTCCAATGTTCGGCCTTAACTTGGAAGAGATTTGCGTCTGGTTTTGCAATTACCAGACGCAGCGCTTCAAGACGGACAGGTGAGTTTAGGCCCCTGGATACTATCAGATTCACGCAAGTCAAACACAATTTAGATGACCTCATGAGTCATGACCTAATTAACGAGGACTTAGGCCGCCCCGAAGCGTCTGAGTCAAGCTGGAGGATGTGGCCTACATGCAAGCAGTGGTCATGTTCATTTTATATGACTGTGCTGTAAATCTCTGCTGCTTATTTTACATTTTCATCACACAGACGGGGTCAAACAGCACTTTGAGAGCTCGCCTCCACAGAGCGCCTCTGGAGCTTTGAGGGGGAAAAAAAAAATGGAAGTTTTGACTTCGGCATGCATCACGGCGCTTATTGACTGCAGTGATGAGCACAGAGGCTTTGAAAGTACACGGCGCTGGAGCACTACCTTGAAGCGGGCTGCCAGGCAATTGTTGCTATGCTACGGCAGGAAGCCTGGTGAAAGTGTAGTGTGTTGCCCATTGAGGCTGAACTGCGCCACGATGCTTCAAATGCTGGTGCAGAGCCTCTGTATGCATGCGAGAGCTCTGGGGTGCATGTGTGTCTTAAATAGTACACAAGGTAGAAATCCTCGGCGATGCTCAACAAAACATTATTTATAGCTTGAAAGATTCTGATCTGCATGAATTGCAATGTCTTTGAAAATATTTGCACCAGCAGAGGTTTCTGTTACATTTAGTCTCATTACAGTGACTCATTTCAAAAAATTTTGAATGTTTTGATGTGATAGACCAAATCAACGTAGCTTTGTAGTTATTCTTCTGTGGAACATGACACCAAATTATTTGCAGCAATTAGCATAGCCGTGGACTTATTTGTTACTTACTAATAGTTGCTGGTGTTTGTGATGCAGCCAATGCAGGAGCGCCAATCGTTATCACTGGCGCTTGATTTTCTGCGATTTTTTTT